GCTTATGGAGGAGATCCAATGCCACGTTCAGAATGTAAACAAATCCTCGATAACAGAGGACGGCGAAAGCGAGGAATCCAGTGCCTTGTCCTAAGGACTGCGATCCTATCTACTGATCTAATGCCGTTTATTAAGGGCTTCGATATTATTGTCGGAGAGGATTCTATCCCACGTTTAGAATGTAAACAAATCCTCGATAACTGTAAGGAACTTCATGATAAACGATTGAATACTTTTCAATATAAAATCTATTCCTAAAAGAGACGACAAAAAGGATTAGATAGGATATTCGTAAATAGGACAGACACGAAGAGGATCGGATGAAAGTGACTGTAAACAAAACAGTTTTCAAAACACTGCAGGGACCATCTGGGGAAACATTCATAATCACATTGACAAAGTGTAAGAACATATTTTTCTGATTCTGCACTATATAAGCTTGTAACTTGGTACTGTAACAAGCTCAAAAAAGAGGTTTTCTTTCTTATTCACCTAGTCTGTTATCAAGATCGTTTCCATGCATGTCAATGATGCTGAAGACCCAGGTTTACATGATATGACTAAGAAACCTCTGTGTTCTGGAGAGCAGGTGGTCGCTGAATAGCCAGTGCCATTGGGATGTACTGTCATTTAAGCTGTCTAGCTTGCCATGGAATCGTGATGTCTAACATCATGTCTGTCTGTCTTGATTGCATGGGCAAGACTTACAATGATGACAGTCTTTGCCTGAAAAGTGATATTTGCTAACATTTAGCACCCTATGCTTCAACTTATTGAGATTGAGGTTGTGTGACTATACCTCACTGGACACAGTTTTGTCCATTCCCCCAATAAAACTTGTCTGAGAAAGTTACTATTATTCATGTATATTATGTCATATTTTCTTGAAGGGACAGTGCAATAGTTCTCTGTGCTTGTATCTTTAAGGGAGGCATCTCAGATACATGTCTTCATATGAAATTTGCTGTCCTTGATTTATATTTTCATTAATGTGCATTGTTTGTCATTTATTTTTCTCGGATATTCACAGACACGTATGCAAAATAGAACTGGATCAAATTTTCAGATCGTTGGCGACATTTTTGATGTTCTACAGAATACCATTGTGAATAAAAAGTACACTTTCATAATTTTCAACAAATCATGAGATAAAGAAACCAGTGAGAGGAAAAGAAAACTAATATCCTAAAGAAACAATAAAAATGTGTATTATTAGTCTTTTGAAAAAATATTTACAGATAGTTATTAAAAACAAAAACAAAAATTAAAACAAATTTTCAGATGTTTGGTAAAATAAATGTTATTTTATCGAAAAACCAATCTGAATAGAAATTAAATTTTAGTATTAATCAGTGAATTGTAATTACCAAATTTTCTTATGTGCAAAAAATAACAAGGAAGCCAATTTGTGTTATGGAGCATCTTAGATATGAAGATAGATTATTCAGATATAGAATTTGGTAAAAGAAAACAATATATAAAGATTGCAATACATTAGTAATTATTTTGATTTTAGAATTCAGAATGATAACGTCATCGGAAGAGAGCGACATGGATGAAGCTGACCTAGATGACTCTCTGCCATTCCTAGGAGTAGATGAAGATGACTTCGCAAAACCAAGCAAGGTAAGTTATCATTAATGATCAAAGGATTTACACCTATCAACTAGAAAACAAGCTAAAAAGCACTCTAGATTATATAGGCCTATCTTTATTTATACATGTTCTTTTTATGCATTGGTTATTTTCAGATTCAATCCTGCATACATTGCACATATCACCTTACCAACCTTTACCCTCTCACAGATGTTTATATAACAGTCGTTGAGAAATCTATGGCAAAATAGTAATATGCTTATATGAGAACATCTTGTCAGAGATTTCCTACTTCAGGTTAAAAGTCTCTTTGTCGTGTAACAGAAAAAGGCTTAATTCAAGCTTTTGTGTGATACATGGATAGCCTTGTATGATAATTCCATGGCCATAAGGATGTCAGTAAAAGGATCCTGTATTTCACTAAAGTAAGATTTGGAATATAGAATTTACAATAACGGCTTGTCTCCTGCAAAAATTCATACACTTCTAAATTATCCAAGGCAAGCAATGAATCTTGATGTATCTGTATGACAATTCACTCATTCCTCATACTTTTAATTTTCTACTGTTTGTCAATAATTAAAATGCAGTATCTAAACCTTTATTGTTTTTCATTTTTGTCTTAACAGTATTCATCTGTTATCATACACAGAGATTCTGATAATGAAAAAAGGGGAAAAATGTTGCGATTTCTATCAAAGTTTATGCCATCATCACCGATCATCATCATCATCATCATCATCATCATCATTATCATCACCATCACCATCACCATAATCATCATCATCATCATCATCAATCATTATTATTATTATTGTTATTATTATTATCATTGTTATTTTTTATTATTTATTGTTATTTTGATTATTATAATTATTATTGTTATTATTATTATTATTATTATTGTTATTATTATTATTATTTTTTTTTTTTTATGATTATTATAGTTATTATCTTTATTATTGTTATTACAATTATTGTTATTATTATTACTACTACTGCTACTACTATTACTACTACTACTACTAGTACTAATACTATATTTACTATTACTATAAATTTTTTATTATTACTATTTCTGTTACTATTGCTATTTCTATTATCATTACTATGGTGATGATTATGATGATGATTACAGTTATTATTATTGTAATTCTAATTGATATTATTATTACAATTATTATTGTCATCATAATATTATCATCAATATCATGATCATTATTATTTGATATTGTTGTTGTCATTGTTATCGTCTTGTAGTAATGTTTCTTTTTGTGTTTCTCTCTTAGTATTGTTTAGTATATGAAAAAGAAGAGTATTATGATTATGAGTATGTTTCCATATTTCTTCAGTGTTTTTGGAATATAGAAGTCTTTCTAGCATTTTGCCCACTTGTGTTCACCAAGAGGCACTACGTTAATAATTCCTTTGAATACTCGATATCACATGATTTCCATTCAGTCAGAAATGCTCTTAATTCACCCAGGGAGACAGGACAGACTACGAATACCTCGTCAACGCAGAGTTCTCCGACCAGCACCGAACTGACCAGCTGGAGAAGCTAGACAAGGAAATCACACTGTTTAATTATAAGGGTGAAGATGGTTTGTAAGCTATGAATTGTCAGGGGGTCTGGATTGTTGCTTTTGGGAAGAAGCAGTTATAGGATCGTATTTTAGATAATGTAAGATATATATGGTGAAGGATTTTAGACAATACTGATGTTATCTTTTTTCTTTTTAAGGGTTGAATTTGTTGAAAGTTTAAAATCTCTATGTATTTTATGTATTTAGTTTTGTTTTTATTGTGAAAATGTGTGACAGACACTTGATTTTCTTTTTTGATTCCCATGTTATAAGGATCGGAATAATGATGGCATGCTTTGTGTATTATAGAAATAATAGTTATTGTATCTTCAAAACCAGGTTGTATATTGTAAAAAAGTAATGATGATAACTAAACAGGAAATCCATGTTATATTGTTGCTGTAAAATTATCAAAGAAATATCATGTAGAAAATTATGTTTCTGCAAGTAGGCAAAGCTATTCCATGATTACTATAGGAACACAATATTTACAATGGTACCTAGTAATGATTGGGTCATTTGAATTATTTATTAAGTCTCTTACAACTGTAACAATGTTTTTCACTATTCCAGTTCCAGTCAATCCAGTAGATGTCCTATATGTTGAACAAAGGCAGATTGAATTAAATCCACCTGGAAAAGTATTGTTTTCAAATGATCACCATAGTCTTTATACAGAAGGTAAGGAAGGAAGGCAATCCCTTATAGGTTCTTGTGTGTCTTTTATGAATGATTTTTTGCTTTTTCTTTATTTTTCTCTCAGTTAGATTGTTTTAGATGGTGTGTACCTAATATAAGTATGTGCACTGCAGTGGGTAGTACTCTCTATGATTCTGAAATAGAATCTTGTGCTTTGCTATAGAATTTTGTGGTTTTAACTCCTTAACTTTCCTGGTTATGGAGTTCAAAAGTAACGAAGATTTGATTTTGCAGATACATTGGTGTGGCCATTCATAGATTCCTCCTCAAATCCTCTAGGAAGTCTCTCTCCAGATAAGGTGAAGATGTATATCAAGGAGGGACTTTTTCAGGTGAGAATCAGCTGTTTTGTATGGGGTATATATATATATGTGTGTATATATATATATATATATATATATATATATATATATATTATATAATATATATATATATATATTATATTTTTTTTTTTTTTTTTTTTTTTTTTTTTTTTTTTTTTTTTTTTTTTTTTTTTTTTTTTTTTTTAAGGTTAGGAGTGGTGGTTTATGTTGCGATGCCTTTCAGATAGAAAAGATTTCTTCCTCTGTACATTTCTGTCAGCTGATGCTGTTTTGTTCCTTAACCAATGAAAGTATAAATTCTTCATTTTGATGATAATACTTTTTCATCCATCTCATCCACTTCCCCATTACTTGCTATATTGTTCACTAGTTACTTTTGATTAATGTTCAGTTAACAAATACCCAATTCTGTGACTGGATGTGCTGTAGTGTTATACAATAATATGTTCACAATATGTATTGTGTAGAGTATCTAATAAGAAACAGTCTCATTAAAGGAAAATAATTTGTACTCATGTTAGATAAGATGTAATATAGCATACAAAGTTTTATTTCATTCTCTTTTTCATTATGTTTCCCTTCAGGAAGAAACAGATTTAGATCAGAGCATCGGAATCTATCTGTAATTAATTGTTGGGTATTCTGCTCGACATTATATTCATCACAGCAGGGTTTATGTTGCAAATAATTTTTTGGACATGGATAGTCAGTTTAATCTAATGACAGTGAATGGCATCTTTGCGTGTCATGGCAAGGATTAGCCCAAATGCCAGGTGGCACCTATACATGCCATGGT